TAAATGACGAGAAAGAGAATGATAATGAAATTTTCTTCATAATTTTAAGTCAACATCATAAAATCACACGATAATATCGTTATTGTGCTTTACAACGATTAATATCAAAATTATTGTCCAATATAATGATGATCGGTTAGATTTTGGCTAAATATAACTGATCATCATTTTGGACAATAATTTTGATATTAATCGTTGCAAAGCACAATAACTTATAATTATTAATTCAGTTAATTTTTGTGAAATTACACAGTAACTCAAATTTCTATGTAATAGAAATCATATTGGAAAATTCATGCAAAGAATTGCACATGATGCTTTATTTTTATTATATTAAAATCAGCAATCGACATCATGACAAAGCTGACTAATAACAAAAGAGAAAGTATAACATTATTGTTTTCCTATTCCTTAGATAAAATATTCTATGAGATTACTTTAAAAGATTCAACTTTTTACAGTCTGAAATTTGTAATATTTACAACTTTGTCATTAACATCTTTATAGCAAAAATTCATATTATCACAAAATGATTATAAAAAATTCTAGTAATTTTCATATTTCTAGTATCCTCATTGTTTTCTAATGAAAAAATAAAGCAATTATCATTAAAAAGGGATAACACACTGTTATATCTGTTCTATATCCTCCATAAATTTTTGATGAATAATCACTGGCAATCAATAAAATTTCATTTTGCTGATTACATAAATCATGAAAATTATTGGGATATAAGAATCCGTAATCATCAATACGGTGAAGAAGTTTGAACTCGTACTTCTTTTTATATAACACCACACCATTTTCACCTATTACACAATCATGACCTTCGATCAGTTAATAATTATAGGAATAAGTCTTGGCTTGATAATCTTCGATTCCATTTGTGACTTTCCAAATCGTGGGGATAAAATAATTGATTTTTGAAAAGAACCTTTCATGTAGAATTCTAAAACTTTTTCATAAAGATATTTGGGAAAAATTGGCTTATACTAACGAACTTTTTCAAAAAAATCCGCGGAATCAATACCCGAGTATCTAATGAGTGGAATAAATTTATCTAAGGTCTTCTTCATTGCTTCATAATCTTTGTCATTCCAATTAGTTTCATCATCTTTTAGATCATTGATACCCCATTTATTTAGATAATCCAGAGAACTGTTACTTCGATCTGCAGGTCAACTCGTTTAAGCAAGTCATAAAGAATCTTTATCCAACGATATAAATTCCATTGAAGTAATAAATGGTAAATAAAGGATTTTCGCAGATAATTTCATTACAGTGATCCTGAAGTTGTTTACAAATATCAATTTTAAAGGCTTTATGAATAACAAGAGCGATATTTTGTCTAATCCAGTCCGACCGCTGTTTAATTAAATGAACTTGAACGTGATTAATTAATCTCTTCAAATGTAATTCGTCGGATGCGTCTAAAAGACTAAGAATTTCTTTTCCTGTATGAATGGTTAAATCCAAATTATTGGTATAAATATAACTTATTATAAAAGAAAAAAGAGGAAGATATTTAAAATGAAATGAAAGTGATTTTACAAAGTCATAATCTCATATTGCATACTTGTGGATTAGATCAAAAGTGGTAGGATTAATGTTTGGTTCCTTGAGTAACAAAAATAAATTATACTCCTCGACAGTAGTTTGCAGTGCATTTTCGAAATAAGATGAGCAAGCTCCTAGAACTGATGAATGAGCAGGAAATTCTTTAACATCTGGATTTTTTCCGACTTGAATCATTACATTATGATTTCCAATATTTTTTAACGTTGATGAGAGTCTGGTAATGATCCTTGAAGTCATTCTCTTATCCTTTAAAAAAATGGAAGTTGAATTTATTACGTTCTTTTGAATATTGCGAATCATTTTGCTGCTTTATAAAAAAGGAATCAAAGAACAAATTTCATAAAAAAAAAAATTTCGAAAAATTGATAATTTATGACGATCATTTACTAAATAGAGTACGACACTTCTATTTTTAATATAATATATGCAACAGTTTCGGCGATTGATTCATAACCGTGATAAAAAGTTGATTACGTTTCGTTTAAATAGATCATGTATTACAAAAAATTAAATAAAAGTAGCAAATTCTTATAATAATTAACAGTATTTATTTCCGGTAAATTTGTACTATGCGTTTCTAATTCTTTCTAACGTTTCTAGTCAACACGTTTTCCTATTGCTAGACAAGCATTCTCATAATTTCACTGTAGTTCCACTTTCGTTGTTAGGTAGAATTATGAATTCCTACTGTTTTTCGACTATAAATGTAGCGGAAACTTGATACTGAGTGCACAATACAAAATTTCCAATACACGTGCCGAATTCATCCTGATTCGAGATTTAATACCTCTTTTATATGATTGAAATATTGGTAACGTGCGTCACAGACAATGAAATCGCTTTCACTGTTTAAAAAATTCACTTAAGAAATGTGAAATCGACAAAATTTGGAATTTCGAGTTTTACCATGAACATTTTTTTCTTTTTTTTTATGATTTGATTTTTATATATAAAATAGATGACTTGATAACAAAATTCATTTTTGTGAAGACATGAAGAAATTTGAAAGTGAGTATCGAAGTTTGCTTATTGTAAGTTTTCAATCCTTATCTCGATCCTTTAATTTTACTTTTATTACGGCTAAATACATTGTCAAATAATATAATAATAAATAATGGGATAAGCTGATTGAATAATAAATATATTATGAAGGATATAAACTTGAGAAGAAATATGATCATATTTTATGAAATTGTTGTATATGAAGCGCGCTAAAGTCCGGATAAAATATTTGTCTTGTACAAAAACCGGACATAACACAATGAATCGAAAGATCGGGTTAAAGAAATCATAAAATTTTGATCATTATTAAAACTCACTTGATATTTCTATTAAATCATTTGTTGGTCCTAATTAAAAATACCCATCACATCAAATAAATAATAAAATTGTAAGCCACATAAAAAATACTACTCGCTCATCAAAAATACATTTTCGCAAAACTTCCGGCTGATTCAATCTCCAAAACCTAATTCGTGGTTGACGACCTGGCAATCTTTAAACAAAGGAACGAATAGATTGGTTGTTGCTGTACTCTTTATTCAAATGGAGTATATAATCATACGATTAAATCAAAAATGAAGAAAAAAAATAAAATTAAAATTAAAATTAAATTAATAAATATTGTTAACGACTGTACCTCCGTTGGTTTGTCAGAAGAGCCTTAGAATTTTGATCATTATGTGAAATAGCATCATCTAATAATTGAAAATTTATTAATAGTTTGAAGGTTGATTTTAATATAGGTGCATAATTACTACAAAAAGACAGAGAGACCTAAAAAGATACCATCTCTAAATTTCGCTGCTATCTTTCTTTATCTTGCTCTTGAAATTTGTGAAGTATGTTAATGAGCCACCTCAAAAAATGCATTAAATACATTTATATCGAAAATTTACTTATTTTTGACTACCAGTTGTCTTCCCAGAGAAGAATCAATTAATATTCCAAGCTGAATGTAATAGCAATGAATAGATTATCTGATTTTCAATCAAATTCTCAATACCTGCAATGCGAGAAAACTTCTTCACCTTATTCATGGTTTTATTTATTGCGCGCATTAATTACTCTGCAGAGTCGTCTCCGATCTTAACAATTAATGTGTAAATGAACTAGATTACACTATATCATTGAAATACATGTATCTTTAGGTTGGATTAACTTCTGAACGATGATATTATAGAAGAGTCCTCTTTGATAATTGAATTCATTGACCCATATTTGGACGTTGTGCAACTTTAATATGAGAAATTCCTATAAACAATTTGGGAAATGATGACAACAATATTGATGGTGTTGAAATTCATTATTGGTTTTGGGTAATGAGCTAAAGTATTTTCAAATAGATGCCAGAATGAGCATAATTAGTATAAATGTAATGTCTAAAAAATTCATAACAACATTCAAATGAAGCAATTATTCAGATAAAAAAAAAATATTAATTACTCATACTTTATGTTGTAACCGCGAGTATGTTAGTTCTTTAATAGGCAAAGATATAATAATTTCATCTTCTAAGGCAGAACTTTCAAAACTGCTCAAAGTCTTGCGTTTATTTCATTAAAACATGTCGCGATAAATGCAAGTAAAGACCATTCCTACTTTTCATACTTCTAATTAGTATACTTATAATAAGTACAGTCAATCCTCTCTAAATGCACCCCCTCATAACCATAGTGAAAATTTTAAAAAATGTGCATTTAAAGAGGGTGTGCATTTAAAGAGAAAATTTTTATAGGAATTCCAATTTTACGAAAATTGTACAATTTTTTCTTAAATTAGTTAGTACAAAAAAATCATTTTAAAAAATTACCGCAGATCTGCGCCACAAATAAAAATAAAAAATAAAAAAACCCAAATATTATGCTCGCTATAAAAACAAAAAAAAAATTCCGGCAAGCCAGATTTGAACTAGCGACCTAGAGATGACAGGTTGAGATCATTATCTCACTACAGTCTCCCGCTCTACCAACTGAGCTATTGCCGGTTTAGCTTGCATCAATTAAATTTTTTTTGAAAAATCAAATAAAGGTCACGTGCGCTGTTGAATTAAAAAACTAAGTTTTTTCCTGTTCTTTTTGAATAATTTCTTTATTTTTTAATTTACAATCCTGTTAGCATTAACATAAATAAGAAATTAGGTATGGACCTGTTGTGTGAAAATTTATTTTTGCCAAAAATATTTGAGAATTATAACAACAAGCCATATTTTGATCTAAAAATCGATACAACGTAAAAGTTTGGTCACGTGCAAGCGCAACTAGAATTTATTTAAAAAAATCCTTTACCTATCGCAAATTTCATGACCTGTAAAATTACCAACAACAAAGGGCAATCCAAAAAAATCAATATAATCTAAGGTTGACCTGACCCCATTTTGGCAATAGTCGAAACTTTTCGAAATTTAGAATAATAAATCATGATTTTCAAAAGGTTTTACCCGAACCGAAAGGAAAATTCGATTTTGAAGAATAATTGTACATCCAATTTTATTATAAAGTCGTAGATTGCTACTGTCAAAACTTTCGCGGTTTTGACTTTATAAAAAAAAATTTGGAAAAATGTCAAACTATTACCACCTGTCGAAGCCTCAGCATTTTTCAGACAATCTTACAGCAAATTTCATAAGTTACGGGACACCTGGTAAAATTTTTGCCGAGAAGTTGCCGGGTTCTCGGGTTCTCGGGTTGTCGGCAAATTGAAAAAAATAATAAACACGTGATATTAGCCAATCAATTTTTTGTATTATTATATCGCTCCGGATAATAAATCAGTGTTTTTTTTTGTTCCATTACCTTGTTCTACGATAACATGAATGCGTTTTGTGGGCGGTTTAACGATAAGAAGCAGAAAGGATAGCACAAGATTATGTAAGTGTTCGGTATTATTGGCAAATATGACTTAGAAGACGAAAAAAAATTACGCTATATTATCTTGTACATACCTTGCTCGCCTTTGATTTCTTTGCCGGCCCTGAGCGATATAATAAAAAAAAAAATACAAAAAATTGATTGGCTAATATCACGTGTTTATTATTGCCGACAACCCGAGAACCCGAGAACTCGGCAAAAATATTATCAGGTGTCCCGTAACTTATTAAATTTGCTGTAATATGAAAAATATGAACTTTATAAATGTCAACGCTTGAACATCATTTTTTTATCATTCAAAAGAACTTATAAAATTAAAAGGTTTGCCCGAATTTCGTGTAATTGCGGCTGATAATATTCCTATTTTATTATTACCTTTTTTAGAAAATAAATTTATATATATATAATTCACTCATTTATATCCGATTACGTTATTTCTATGAATAAATAGCAGGTTAAATCCGCCTTTCTAAATTAATCAAAAATTTTCAAAAATATTTGTTCAATTAATTTTGCTAATGTTAATATAACCTTTTGAAGTTTAGTTAAAACTTATATTAGGTGTTATATTTTCATTTTATTCGACAATTTCTTATTTTTATATTAATAAATATTTGAATTCGTTGATGTTCAAAAAAAGTCATATAATATGAGTAACTCAATAAAATTTAAGTGGAAAGAATCTACTCATCAATTATTCAAAACGTGTAAAAAAATGTCAGTTCTATAAAATATTTAATCGGCAAAATAAGTTTGTGATTCAGAAGAGATATAAAGAGTTAAGCTTTATATTGCTCTTGAAAAACGAAGACGTTATTAACACGCCTACGACAAAAAATTTAAAAAAACATTTTCTCCTATTGTCCTTAAACATTATCAAATATCATATTTCTCCAAGTTTAATTCTGGCTATCTCGCATGTTTCTTACTTTTATGCACTCATAAAATGATGATGGGTATCGATGACTCTTATTAACTGAACAATTTTGATATTTGTTCATTGAACTTAATTTCATTGGAATTAGAATCCCTAAAGTTTCCATCTTGATTATCTTTCAATAATAATTGATATATGCTACCTAACATTATTCCCACTTTATCGATCCATCTTGAAATATTTGAAATAATACTTAATTAGCAATTTATTCATCAAAATACTAAACGACATTAAAATTACCGAGAATAGTATGATGTTGGTCAGTATGAATGTACACATCAATTTCATAAGTTGATGTTAAACAATATTTGACAGTCTTTTATATAAAAAAACATAACAAAGAAGAATATGAGTTTTTAATTTCTTACAATTATTATTTATTAAGGTTGCACGATAAAATGCGGCAGTTAAGAAGTATGCGCTTATGAATTGTCTGAGAAAATCAAGTTAATCTGTTGAGTTGCTTATTAGGGAAAGTGATTTTGAACTAGAATAAATGTCAATAATATAAATAGACATGAGCAACAATGAGAAGCAGTGATGGCAAATGACCAGGTCATTTGACTATTTTGAAATGACCTTCAAATGACTTTCAAATGACTATGTCATTTTGGTCATTAAAAATAAGTCATTTCGCAAATGACAAATGACCTTAAATGACATTATCATTTAAAGGTCATTTATGTCATTTGA